GTTGGCTGACAAGAATATAACCGCGAGAAAAGCTGGGGAACCGATCGATGATCGCGCACCTTCGATAACAATCGTGACTATTGGAACGAGGAACTTGTCGTGCCCACGAGAAGTTTCTCTTGGCCCTCGATAATTCATACTCCACTACCGCAGAGTTTGCCGTGCATAATTCAGGGCCAACGCAAACTTTGTGCTACCGAGGCGAATAGTTTACCAGCGAAACGCGATATTCGGCTCTGTTTGTGCTCGTTAGTTCGAGGTTGAATAGGGCCTCGTAACGATGGTGGATTTTCTCGGTTCCTGCGGAGATGAAACATGCAGGGCATATTTAATGAGTGGCGTCTCCTTTGTTCGCCAATTCTTCAAGTCCGAATTAAAGCATCGAGAATTCACGATGGATGTTGACTTCTGAGGAAGTGGGCTTGATGGATAGGTAGGAGGATGTTGGTCTAATATACACAGACCTCAATCTTCTCTAAGAACATCAGCTTAATATCTATATACACAAACTAGAGAAATAACTTTTTATCGGTATCTCTTTAACTAGAACCCTACATTGATACCTACATAAGTATTCGTAGCCTTTATATTTATTGAAGAGCCTAACCGAAGAGTTTGACACCGTGTGTCAAAGGGTAGGCAAGGTGGCTAGAAATCGGTAAGGTCCAGACAGAGTTAGCCTTGTCGGGGCTTCTCCGCGTCACGCGCTCGCGAAATCCGCCGTTTCGCGCAGGAAGCCCCGAGGAACGTATTCGCAAAAGCCCACGACCACCGAGGGGGAAGCCCGCCTCGCTTGGTCACACCGTGTCCACCCTTTCGTGTCCAAGCCGGACAATGGGGGTGAGTAACCCCATCTCGAGGTGAGGGTGGCGGACGTGCCCGGAAAGGGCGTCTCGTTCCTCGTAACTCGATACGTTTCGATCCACGTGGAGGCGCCCAGGAGGAAGTCAAGAGGGGAGCAAGGGAAAAAGAAGTCGAGGAACTCGACGTCGATGATACCTCGTTACACCTCGATCCACGTGGACACTTGAGGTTGATCGCGAGCTCTGGTTTGTTCGATGAACGTAAGTGCGTAGAAGATATATACGTCTATGCACGCGGAGATACGTACATTTCGCTCGAGAGCTGATAACTTGTATTATTTTCAAACTTAATATCGAGTAACACTAGGTACCGAAGAGAAATCTAATTAATACTCGAAGCAAAGAATCAATAAGTAATTCTTATTCAGATACTTCAAGAAGGCTGGTTTCTCGCGACAAAAAAACATTTGTCACCTAGAATTTACATCTTCTCGTTAACACGTCTAAGTGACTACATATTAATACGATTAACAATTCCAATGCGATCGACGCGACGCATCTTGTAAATCGTTTCGACCATCCATAGAAACTAAGTCGTAGGATGGAAAAAACAACGTCCCACCCACGTTTAACGACAAATCTCATTATTCTCGTTTAAGAAGGACTCGTTACGAAGATTAATCGTTGATTGATAATTGGTCGAAAATTAGTGCTCCCTCTCGAGAGATCCTCAGATAAAATGAAATTGACATTGGCTCTCGTGTCCTCCGCGATCGATGCCAATTTCTAGTTGAGTCGGCAAAGTCTACTTTTTGCTTGACTATGTATCGAATTCGTTTAGCTAATTATCAGAGTGCGTCATCGCGATTTTTACTCGACAAATCGAATCCTTTTTGACACAGTAATCGAACTTCTGGCAATGGCAACGCTGGCCCTAGCGTTTTTACAGCTGGCAGTTGTCCCAAACAGTTTAAGGTCCTTTGGGTAGGTCAGGACAGAGTCGAACGTAACAGATTCCCAAGTAGGACACGATCTGTCCCGGAGACGAAGATTCCAGCTAACCGTTCAAATTTTCCACACGTCTAACCCAGACCTAACCCCAAGATCAGCACTTTGGAGCACACGCCTTTGGGCTTCTCATTACTGCTAAATCAGCGACGCGAGACGTGAGCACACACGAGGATGGGGCTACTTGTAACAAAGGCGAGTGGGTGCAAAGACACGAAGAACTAGTCGGAGTCACGTGCTCCACTTTGCGTTAGAATAGGATTTGTCCCTTGGTGTTGTTGGCATAAACTTCACTAGTAATATAGATACCAAAGCATACGTAACAATAATATAGAATTCAAAGCAAAATTGGACCTGGATCATTTTTATGAATATTTTTAAAATCAACAAGAATTCTTGATTCTGGTACGAGAAACTAAAGGATGATTTATAACGTAATTTCCGTGAATAATAAAACTGTGTAACACGAGAGGTTCGAAGCTTTCCACGAAATCCTCAACGTAGATCCAACGCTTCGAATCTGTGGTTTTTCAAGTACCTATGTCATCCAAGGAACAGGTTCCAAAGACGATCGAGAGAAGTTCAAGACGCGCTACGGTTGGGTTTGTTTATCACTCGAGGACAAAGGCGCTACTGTATGGAGTTTCTATAGAGCAAGCTTTGTAACGGGAGCATCGATGAGAAAGTCTCATCTCAGCGGATAAGCGTCAATCAGAGTGGTACGGTTCCGATCAGGACGATAACGAGAAATTATCCTCGGATCGTGACTTGCTGGGACATTGTCTCAGCGAGCAGGTGCGAAAGGACTAGACTGGAGGTCGAGTCTGTACCTAGACAATGTCGCACCTGTTTGCAGCTTGGTCGACTTTCTCCTTTTGTTAGCTACAGTTACAATCTTCTCTCAAGGGGAAGTTGCTAGATGATTCAGTCGCGGTAAGAATGACCCTAAGCGTTCGAAGAAGCCTAACGATTGCAAAAGCCGCGCGTAGCGGTCGAACTTTTCCGTCAACGATGGCTGCCTGGGTAAAAATTGAACGATTACACCTCCAGGCCTTGGATTAGCCGGAAGATCACGTGGGCGTCTGAGAAACGTTTCGGGATGGGTACAGAGAAAAATCATGACGACGACGATTAACCGCGATGAGCCCGGAGGTGACATCCGTGTAATTACAGCCGACCGAGTCGAGTACACGTCAATTACACGAGGGCGTTGACCACATTTTAACGAAGCTCAATTGCGCGAATCTTTTCGGCCTGGGCGACATCCGAAATTTGCTAGGGATCCCGTTCTGGTTGATTATAAAAATATTTATAGAAATCAAGTAGGGCTAATTCTGCTTTGACATTGTTTGAAGTTAAGAAACAGAAGTATTTTGTCCAAGTTTGAGCAGTTTCTTTGTTCGAGACACTAGAAAAATAGAAAGGAGCACGTCCTCTTCTCTGTTCGAGGAATTAATTTCTAAAAATATAAGAATTTCACTCCAAGAGCAACGGCCCCGTTCACTAGAATGGCAGAGCCATAATTCGACGAGTATATTCGACTATTGCCAACGAGTTTGTTACGTGAGCCGTGAAACACGAAAAAGAAACAAAATAATCCTGGTGGGTAGTAAAGTAACACTCGTAAAAAGAAGAATTTGTTTCTGGAAAAAGCACGTTCCTAGTTTACGAACTTGTCTTTGACGGTAAGAAAAAAGACGAGGATGAGGAATTCCAGTGTACATCGAGGAGCGAAAATTCGAGGAATGACACGATTGAGTAATTAGCCAGCTAATCTTTTCCGCGAAACTTAAGATCCTCGCGAGCCAACGGTTACGCTTTCTACACCCAACCGTTCCCCTACCTTTGTTCCTCCATTTCGGAGCAATCTCGACATTTGACACGTCGTGGACACGCTTCCGTTACCCGATCCCGGGATGATCTCAACGAGCAAGAAGAATCTACGTCCAATTCTACGTCGTAAAATCTATTATCAATCTCGAGAAAATTAGCGTTCGAGAATTGCCAAGTGTTCGAACACGCGGTTGTAAAACGTTTAGCTACGCGCTCGTTATCACCGCTTTTAAAACTACTCGCGAGCAATTACAAGGGTACCCTTAAAGGATGTGGGACTTCCTGGAAAACATCCCGACAATTTTTATCACGGTTGGAACCACTTAAGTAATTCCACAGATAAAGTACTCGGCTAAAAGTACCGGTGTAACAGTTGTTTATCCTCTTTGTATTGAGATAACCGTTCTCGCGTCCATCGCGCGATGCCCGGCGATTAGGCTGCTCGTAAGATACTTAGAATGACAGTAAAGGTCCAGTTGCGAGAGAGAAGTAATCACGTTCGGATTTAAATACTCTCGAGCAAGGAAGAAAGAAAGTCGCATTTAGGTATTGAAAGAACGAGAAACATTTTGTAAACAGGATTTTGCGACAGCTTTATCGAGCATGTGCTTAAGAGTAGATAAGTCAGGCTTGGGTTGGAATCGTTCATTTTCAAGGTTCTAAACCACATCAACTTCCGGTTGACGAAGTTGTGAATCATTCGTTGATGGAATTACCTCAACGAAATTACCAGTACGAAATTGCATAGCTCTCGATATCAAAGTTCTCGACAGTGACCTTCGGGTTTTCAGAATCCTTTGGGCGACAGCGAAAAGAGCGCCGCAGCTTGCAAAAGGGCGACGAGATTCAAGGACCACCTCGCGAGATGTAAATCGATCGAACCCGTCAGGGTTGGCTGCGGACGTTACCGCATCTTGCTACATTTCGAATCTCGACATTTAAGAATTCTCGTTAACAATAACCTGCATCAACGTCTAAGAATCTGAACACCGTCTTAACTTTCTTTAACTACGTTACCAATCTTTCATTTCCATCGCAAGTAAACCCTACACTACCTCCTCGCTCGTCATACACACTGCAAACACTTTCCACGCCTATCCGAAACCGATCTCCACCAGAAAATCTCCTATCCCGTTTCTGGAAAATTCTAAGCCTACTTCGAGGTACTCCCCAAAAATATACCCAGCGTCACTCGAAGGTTACCAGGACCGAAAATGATTAAAATTCAGAAAAGCCGTACGAGGAATGATACTCTGAGGAAAGGGGACGCGGTGGTTCCCGAGGACCTACCCGAACGTCCAGAACACCGGGAAAGCCGCAGTGCGGTAGGAGAGAACGGGTGGTTCCGGAAATTACCTTTTCTTTCCGTATCCGACATTGTCGAGCTCGACGTGTCTGTATGTCGCGTACGTGGCCATATTCCCCGACGATAGCTCTCGAATCTCCCTCGTAGACGTTTCTCAACGCACTTCGATACCCTCCTCGTCGTTGTCCTCTTCACCCGTTACACAGAAACAGCCCCCTGTGTTTGCGTGGCGGAGGATCGGGAGCACAAAATAATCGAAGACGACGATTATATCCCGACTTCCAGCAACCACCCTCAGGCTCGTCCTTGACTCTGTCTCTTCCTCTTCCAGTAGCGAAACCGCGGAACGATCCTCCCCCGTGCGAAAGATCACGATTACTTAGCTGCCGAGGACACCGTGTGCGTGGGTATAGTCGTTGCCGCGTTCAGGCGAGAAACTGGCAGCCGAATGAGGATCCAGCCAGTATATAATGCCTCCTCCACCGGTGCTTCCCTCCTCTCTCTCTCTCTCTCTCTCTTTCTGTTCACCGCACTAGGGCTCTCCTGCGCGCTCTTCTCTCGCTCCGATCTCCTGTCTCCTTTCGACTCTCCCCTCCCCCCCCCTGTTTCCCTCTGCAAGCTCTGTCAGTCTGATTCAGTCTGCACGGGTATCCCTTGGTCTCGCTTCGATCGTTTACTACCTCTCTCTTGGTTTCTCTCTCGCTACGTGGCCCTCCTGGAGGCTCTTCGCCGGTCTGATCCGACTCCTCGGGTGACAACAATTCTCTCTTGCCCCTAGCTTGACGCACCAGTTCACCAAGAGCTACACCATCCCGCGGATAACCCCGCCAGGCGCTGTATGCACTTCCACCCCCGACGGGAAGGCCGACGACGCCGACGCCGACGCCGACGTCGTGCATTCACCTCAATCAATACGCTCGGCGAACCAGACCGGGGACAGAAGGGGAAGAAGCGCGGTAGGGACGCGCGCCAGCGTAGGCATCGACGTCGTGTTTCGCTGCATCTGCACGCCGATGCACGTGCGAGGACAGAGTCGCTCGTCGCTGATAATGAGCAGGAGAGAGGGTGGTGGTGAGAGAGCAAGCCACCACGCTCGCCTGGCGTCAAGGGCTGCGATCGTTAGGGATAGGCTCTCTTTTGGGATCATCCCTCGACTCGTGCACGCGGAACTTCGAACTGTCGCCGGGACTTTTGGTGGGACTGGGGTGGAGTGGGAAAGGGTTTACAAAGTAGGAAGGGAGTATTTTGAATATAGGGAAACATGTGTAGTTTAAGAGTTTCTGTGTACAGTCAGTCTCATAAATATTTTTACCCTATATATCTAGTAAAAAAGTTTATCTAAATTAATAGGTTGAAAACAAGTATCAAATATGTACAAAATTGAGTCGAGACAGAAGAGTTTCGTATTTACAGGAGGACTGATAAAAAAGATCTACACATCTACACGATTAAATAAAAAGCTCTAAGGATTTGACGTTTCACTTCTACACGGCCATAGAAGATGTAATATATATCCAGAGATTATAACAGAGCATTACACATGTTATCACGTTCCTGATCTACAGCAAATTAAATAGCTATAGTAGATTCTATTAAGCGGAACTCTATTTGTACATACGATAACAACTTGTATCTCTTAATGGGAGATTAACTGAATTTAATTCTACCTTAATTTCCCGAGCAATCGATCGCATAAATTATTGAAAGAACTTCCATTAGATGTTGCGCACGTCCTGTGTGATTTATGCATGACGGTGCAACGGCACATTTCAACTCAGTAGCCAGGCAGTTCTCGACTCTACGTTATTCTGTAACGTTCCTAACACCAGTAGAATTATTTAAAACTGTGCACGTATAACGATATTTCAGTGAACGTATTAATTTCACGCATATTTTAAAGAATTTTTAAAGTTGAGGTCAACCGATAACCACCACGGCAATTTACCTGTTAATTAATAAACAAACGAGACGTTTCGCGTGGCCATAATTCCGTTGCAGTGGAACGATACGCACGTGCGTTTCTCGCTTACGGTTATTTAACGCGACACGCAAGTGAACCGGTACTATGTCATTCTCAGTTCGCGTACAGTGCATAGCGTATAAAAATTAACGTTAGCTTAGCACATGCATGGCCCCAGGACGCGTCGAAACACGTGCTGCATGTTTTATATCAAACATAAATCGAAGACAGAAGTCTGGGACCGTTTCTAATTATTCGTTTTATTTCTAAGGTACTTCAAGTACAACATGATCGATTTTTGTAGAATAAAGCTCGAAGGGGTTAAATGTTAAATGGTGCCATTTTAAGGGTGAGGACACAAAATTATAAAACATTCCTGCACTACCCTAAATACAAATATAGAAATAAATGCAACAACTACAACTTGCGTTTAATTTTTAGCTTGGTATTAAATTCAAAGGGATTCCACGTCTCCAGAAGTTTCAAGCAAGAGACAGCTCGAGCAGCCCACGGAGGATAACGCTCCCCTCGGCGTATCGCACACGGATGCACATGAGACGGATCTCGCGTTGCAATCGATGCGAAATTTTAAGGGTTTCTACGGCTCGCTTCAAAAGAGACGAGAACATGAAGGGTTGGGGTTGCGTCTGTTTGCGACGAGTCGAACACGTGAACCATCGTGGGGGTATTTTTCGGCCCTAACACTGTTTGAGTAATTAACTGATTAAATTGCAGTCCCCTTGTTGGCCTTTTAGAACGCTCGATAGATCGAGTTACCGAAATCGGAGCCCCGGGGAATAAATTGTGAATTGGTAACTCTGTATGGTGTCGATACGGTAGAGGCTTATAAACAACTATTGAAAGATAGGATTCTCGGTCGTTTACTTGGAACGAGTGTTAAAATATTTTGACATTTGAATTGAATAGAATTAGCTATAATGAACTAGCTCTTGCATAAGCAATACTGCCTACCGATTCATTAAACGCTCGTTTGTCAGACTTGGGAAAGACGCGTGACAAAGATAGATTGGAATTCCTACTTTCAAGATAATCAACTAATCTATACATTTCTATTTAACTTTCCGATTCATTAACAAGCCTTCTTGGTTCGTTACGATAAAGTTCAATCTAAACCTGCCAAGTTTTTTATTTCACGAGATTAGAAAATATTCTGTGGTTAATGAAAGTTCAGGAAACCCTGCTTTAACCTACAGTAGACATCTACCCTATTTATTTAGAAGTGTTGGAAGTTATCGTTGCCAGCCACGGTTATCCTTCACCCCCCCATAGCGTTACAACGGCGAAATCAACGAATGCTCGGATTCAATGAGATAGTCAGTCTTGGTGTTCTTCATCGTCCAGCGGAAATAAGGTTGGCCACGCAAACGATCGGAGCGCGCAGTAGACGTGCATTCTGCCGCTCCTTAACGAAATAGGATCTCGACGTATAATTGTCCATAAATAATAGCGATTCCACAATCCGTCCGCGCGCTCGATCGTAAGTAAACGCGTAATTAACGGTGGATTTTCGTAAGACGTCGATGCACGGTTCAATGAACAATCTGCCCATAATCGTGGAAATAATTGGTACGGTTTATCGGCGATCTGTTCCAGACAATTAGGGGATCACGTGCCCAGACCGTTTCTGGAGAGTGAATCGAATATCTCGAGCAGCCCAGATATATTCCCTCTAACGATATTCCTGAGTTGGTTTATGTAGCTTGTTTGGAGCTTTCAAGTATCGAACAGTTCGGTCCCGGAGCATTTCTGCCAGGGATTCCAATTATTTTGGCTAGAATGAACTTGGTTAGAGTTTGTTTTATTCGAATTGGATGACCACACTTTTAGTTGGTTTTGAAAGTTATATTCATATTTCTTTTATCTTTATATCTTTAATTATTGAGCTCCCAGAGCCTCCAAATTCTAATGCAGTTGTCTCCTTGAACACCACTGAGAAGTAACATGTAGTTTAAATCTCCTTATCCAGTGGAGACATTTGACTTGAATTGATTTCCATCGCAATTGTGTTCAAAATTATATTGCCTGGAGTACCCTAGAGTATCGAGCTCTCCGATATCTTCAGTCGAATGTCGTGTACAGCTTTACCTTCCTGTCAACTTTGTGAGCCCTCGAGAAACGTCGGATTACGCGCACATTAAATGTCGCTGGACAAAAGTATTTCGTCGCGCAAGATGACAAACTTAATGCGACAGACTGTTCTTGTAAACTCGAACGCATCGAGGCACGTTCGAGAATAAACGTTCCGAAAGGAACTTCAAAGTGTAGACAGGCTTCGCACCCCCGAGTACTCGTCCTAGATACCGAACAAAAGAGGCTGACTCAGTGGTAGCCTCCCCTTGCTGCACATACGACGGAAACACCTACCCTAAGCTGCACGGAATATGCAAAAAGGTTCACGACAGACCTACAAACTTCCTCATTTATCGAACTAACGAACCAAGACTCGTACAACAACAAGGTTTGATTTAATAGATTTCTTAGCTTAGAAGAGGCTTAGATTGAACTTGGAAAGGCACAGTTTCAATGACGACGCTTCCAGCGACAAATTTCACGCTAGAGTAATCACAGCGCGAACACGATCTCGTTGACGCGTAAGCAACTGTTCGAGATGGTCGTAGTGGTTACAGTAGACGCAATGGTCGTGGCAATGGGCGCTCACACGATGGGCGTAGTGTTTTCTCGAGGAAACGGTACAGAAACGCGGTTACACACTCGGTTTCCGTTTCGAGCGGACACACGTCTAGCGGTGTACACACAGGGTGAGCACCAGTGGCGAGCCTCAGCGGCAAAACGAATGGTACACGGCCACGAAACTAAAATACAGCGAGCTAACATTAGACGGTAGGCATTCGCGATATTTTATTTTTACGATTATGTTCCCTAACGTGCGCCGCTAACGTCGACTACCCCGAAAGCGTTGTCGAGACGTAACGCGAGGCTGCGACGTGGTTACGACGAGAAACTTCCTGGAGGAAGAGTTATCGCTTTGGGTAAACTGTGTTTGCGGAGGTTCGCGAGGCAGGGAACGCTCCTTTTAATAGGAGGGCCTATGGAGGTCAAATTATCATGGGGTTTCACTTCTCGGTTAATTTTTCTCCTTGGTTGATAATGGTTTAGAGGTGAAATGCGTGCAAAATATTTCTTTAAAAATAAATTTAAACAAAACATTGTCCATTTGAAATGTATCCCCTACGAGGTCGAACAAAGAGAAAGTCGATACAAGAAGAAAGTGAGCGAATATCGAGTAAGTAAAAAGAAGAAACACGAAGGCAAAATACGTGCCCATATGAAATTTCCGAAGCGAATTTCTCGCGTGAGCGATAGACTACTTGAATGGCGAAGCTGAAGTGTACAGATGGTAGAAGAATGAAGAGATCTAGCATTGTCAGAGGTTGTGCAGAGATGAGAGAGTGGCAACGTTCCGCCATGAATTAGAGACTGTTGAATCGAAGGTTGCACAGCGAATAATAATCTCATCTACCTAGTGGTCTTCCTGACCACTTTCGTAAGCGCAACGCGTACGCCTCGCGATCCAGCGGCTCTCTAATCCCGGATTTAATGATAGATCCGTTCAATGGAACGTATTTCATTCGATATCGGAATATATCGATATGCTCCTCCGTTCTATAAAACGGAACGCTTCGATAGGCGGACTCGTTTCCGCCAACACTCTTTCTTTATTTCTCTGCTGCTGGGTATAGCGTTAATGCCCGTCACGGAACCGGCTTGGAGATTGACACTGACAATGAAAATTCATGAGAACTTTGGCGAAAAATCGCATGTTTTATCAGCGAATAGGCAACGGGATCGAAATCTCGGGCAAAGATTAATGAACCGCTGAAAGCGTCGGGAATGG